AGTTGTTTCATACGAATCGGTGCGATATTGACCGAGATCATACATCTTTTGTTTTTTGTTTTTTCTAAATATAAAAATCATGTGATATAATGCCATTTTGACTATTTTGTGACTTTAGTCTCCAATGGTCGAAATAATTTCGACCATTTCAACCATTTCAGATATCCGAAATGATCCATTTCGACTTCATGTATAATCCTAATACTTTCTAACATTTTCCATAGTCTTACCATATACCAAATTATTCATGAGTTTGAAGAAGTCTTTTTCAAATGCATTCTTAGCTTTTTGGCGTAATTTAGTATTTTTTACAATATATGGAGCCAACCAGTTCGTCTGGTTAGATGATAAGATCTCTGTGACCTCATTTACAACCATGTCCAACTTTATATAATACTGGAGCTCCTAAAGCTCCTAATAATGAATGACATAATTTTTTCGTAGACCAAGATAGAGAACTAATTTTTCTGTTGCATAGAATCATCCACCATCTATATCATTCACAAGCTTAGTATTGTATGAGCATAGCATATCCTTTTTTACTGCGACATTTTCCACAGCTGGTGGTAAGTCCCTCAAATAGTTGTGAGTCTTTAGGGGGAAATAGGAATTAATCACTAAGAAGAATCCACGTGATACATCTGCTCCAATCTTGAGAATCATTTTGAGATATTTCTTTTGCATTTTGGGATTATTCTTTAGATATTCTCAACTAGCAACCCACTTATAATTTCTAATTGAAAGAAATTGGCTCATAGCCCAACCATAAAGATTATTCGTATCGACATAAGAGATCCATGTTGTTGGTTGAGATATATCAAATGCGTCTCCCATATTAGGATTATTTGCCTTGAAATGTCTATGTACTGCCATAGCAATACCACCATGCTTCGCCTTTTCAATGAAGTCATGCATTGCCATTTCTGTAAATAGCTCGATCTTAACCTTGGTCATCTTAAGCATAGCATCCCAGGATAGAGAAGGTGCAGATACATAATGACTGGGATCAAGGCCATAATGATGCATTGATGTCTTTCTAAATGTTGTTCAGACATCTGCTAGACTAAGCACGTCTATTTTGAGATAGAGATCATTATATTCTTCCAAGTTATTATACCCAAATTCATTCCATATATTTTGGGCATGATTATAATCCTCTTGTGAAATCTTACCTCCAAGAACACTATAAAACTCATGAATCGGAGGTAATTCTGTTTTCTTAAATCAGTCATGAGAGTCTATGTACTCATGAGGAAAGATTCCTTTACGATATGCTAAAGAAATCTGTTCAGAAAAATAGCCTTGTTTCTTGAAATACTCAGTCATAATTGGATGGTTATCACCCAAATTCTTTGTAAGAGAGGTCAAGCTAGAATTCATAAATTGCATACTATCAATATACTTAAGTGTACCTACCTTCATAGATTTGTATCGTTCAAATATTTCAGTAATAACAGTAATTCAAAGAGAATTACCTGAGCATCCAACAGATTTACAGACCAAGTAAGAGTCATATTCCCAAAAATTATGGAATATAATTGGGATTAGCGTCTTCCATGGCTCAATCTGAAGTTTAAGATTGCAAGTATTATGGGATGCCCCTCAGAACTTACCTATGATATGACAGTGATCCCAAACCTTTTTATCTCTAGCTTCTTCTTTAGCAAGTTCGGCTTGTGCTTTAGAGATTGCTAATTTTAAGGATTTATAGTCTTCAGGATCCTTAGCAATTCTTTATAAAGATTTTTGAGATCCTTTTCTGATTCAATATTTTTTTTCATTTCCCAGATTCTTTTTGATATCTCTCTAGGTAAAGCTATCTTATTATGCGATTTAGGATCTTGAACAATTTCTGTAAGCTTGTCAGTGAGATATTATTAGTAGGAATACAGAAAATATTGAAAACTTAATTTAATATATCTGTTTATCATTAATAGGCTTCATTAAAGGTAAAGACAAGGTTAATTATAAGAACAAGTGATAATCAAAAACTGAAAATAAAAACTCTAATATAACCGTATTGTTAAGTGAGACATTTGCATTAACAGTATGCTTGCGTTAGTATACGCTAGTTTCTTATTCAGCAAGATATATGAACTTTGTATAAATGAGTTATTGTAGATTGCCTTTTATTATCATTAATAGAAAAGGTTATATTATAAAAAATGTGAAAACAAATACAAAGTTGATTTTTTTACCCATTATTGCAAAAAAAAACACGTAAAGTTATGAAAAATACATAAACAAAAAAATATCATTATAAATAGTAAATATGTTATACAAATTTATACTATATATAAGGGAACGTGTTCGATTACGTGACTTTGTAAAAATCATTTTTTTCCAAATAAAACTTTTCGCTACATACATAGCCTTTTAAATCGCCTATAGTAAATGTATTTTAGCTGGCTCTGCAAGTTTACATAGAAAACAAAATGAGGTTACTTTGACTTTTTCATTTTATCCATTTTTGGAAATGATCAGCAAATCTCAAATGCAGAATTTCAACGATTTTCCATACTCCACCACTAAAGATAAGAGACGAAACTCAAAAAAGGCAATTAATAAACAGCCGAAACTATATTAAAATATAGTGAGAAGTACGATGAAACCCTGAAACCTGAAATTAGCCGAAACTATATTAAAAACATAGTAAGAGATATGACGAAATTATTTTGAGGGAGTTTCGGCTGGCATCT